CGCTGGCAGCCATCTTGGATGAGGCATTATGGGACTTATGGTGCTGGTGGCCATTTTGAATGAGGCATGGTGGGATTTGTGGTTCTGGCGGCCATCTTGGATGAGGCATTTTTGGGATTTATGGCAAGAGTGGCCATTTTGAATGAAGCATGATGGGATTTGTGGTACCGGCTGCCATCTTGCATAAGGCATAATGGGATCTATGGTGCTGGCAGCCATTTTGAATGAGGCATGATGAGATTTGTGGTGCTGGCAGCCATCTTGGATAAGGCATGATGGGATTTGTAGTTCTGGCGGCCATCTTGAGTGAGGCATAATGGGATCTATGGCGCTGGCGGCCATTTTGAATGAGGCACAAGGGGATTTATGGTGCCGGCAGCCATTTTGGATAAGGCACAATGGGATTTGTGGTGCAGGCTGCCATCTTGGATAAGGCATTATGGGACTTATGGTGCTGGCGGCCATCTTGGATGGGGCATGATGGGATTTGTGGTACCGGTGGCCATTTTGAATGTGGCATTATGGGACTGAATGAGGCATAATGAGATTTATGGCGCCGGCGGCCATCTTGGATGATTCATAATGGGATCTATGGTGCTGGCAGCCATTTTGGATAAGGCATTATGGGATTTGTGGTACCGGCCGCCATCTTGAATAAGGCATTGTGGGACTTATGCCGCCCGCCGCCATCTTGGATACGGCCTTACGCCATTTATGGCACCGGCGGCCATCTTGAATCCCAATCCTTGCCATTTCCCTGACCCCAGACGCCCCCGAGTCGCCCCAAAACCCCCGGGGGACACCCCGGGGGGACACCCAGAGGTGTGGGGGACGGGCGGGGCCCACCTCCATGTGCTCGATGTGGCGCAGGTGGCTGTTCTTGGTGGCCAGCAGCAGCGCCCGGGCCTCGTCCAGCTGCGTCTTCACCTGCAGGCTCTCGTGGTAGAGCAGCGAGAACTGCGACTGCAGCACCTTGTACTCCAGGGCCTCCTTCACGGCCTCCTCGGGCAGCGAGCGCAGCGCCACCTGCGCGGGGACGGGGAAACTGAGTCACGCCCGGGGCGCCCCGCGGAGCCTCGGAGGCGAGGGGTTCGTTAGTGGCCTCCTGGTAACGAGCGCAGTGCCACCTGCGCGGGGACGGGGAAACTGAGTCACGCCCGGGGCGCCCCGCGGAGCCTCGGAGGCGAGGGGTTCGTTAGTGGCTTCCTTGGGTAACGAGCGCAGTGACAATTGGGCGGGTAAAGGGAAACTGAGTCACAGCTGAGGGACCAATGAGTGACCCTGAGTGACCCCTGAGTGACCCTGAGTGAGCAATGAGTGACCAATGAGTGACCAATGAGTGACCCTGAGTGACCAATGAGTGACCCTGAGTGACCCTGAGTGACCCTGAGTGACCAATGAGTGACCACTGAGTGACCCTGAGTGACCAATGAGTGACCAATGAGTGACCCTGAGTGACCAATGAGTGACCAATGAGTGACCAATGAGTGACCCGAGTGACCAATGAGTGACCCTGAGTGACCACTGAGTGACCAATGAGCGACCCTGAGTGAGCAATGAGTGACCAATGAGTGACCCGAGTGACCAATGAGTGACCAATGAGTGACCCTGAGTGACCAATGGGTGACCCTGAGTGACCTGAGTGACCACTGAGTGACCCTGAGTGACCAATGAGTGACCCCTGGAACCATTTGAGTCCCCAGTGCCCCCAAAATGTCCTCCATGACCAAAATGTCCCAAATCCCCCCAATGTCCTCAATGTCCCCAAAATTCCCAATCCCCCAAATGTCCCAAATCCTCCCAATGTCCCCAAAGTCCCCAAATCCCTCCAATATACCAAATCCCAATGTCCCCAAATGTCCCTAAATGTCTCCAAATGTTTCCGATGTCCCCAAATCTCCCAATCCCCCCGATGTCCCAAATCCCTTCAATGTCCCCAAATGTCCCCAAATCCCTCCCAATGTACCAAATCCCAATGTCCCCAAATGTCCCAAACCCCCCAAATGTCCCCAAAATCTCCAAACCCCCCAAATGTCCTCCATGTCCCCAATGTCCCCAATGTCTCCAAATGTTCCCGATGTCCCCAAATCTCCCAATCCCCCAATGTCCCCAAATGTCTTTGATGTCCCCAATGTCCCCAAATGTCCCCAAAATTCCCAATGTCCCCAAATCCCCCTGATGTCACAAATGTCCCCAATGTCCCCAAATGTCCCAAATCCCCCCGATGTCCCCAAAATTCCCAATGTCCCCAATCCCCCCAATGTCCCCAAATCCCTCCCAATGTACCAAATCCCGATGTCCCCAAACGTCCCAAATCCCCCCAATGTCCCCAATCCCCCCAATGTCCCCAAAGTCCCCAAATGTCCCCAAATCCCCCAAAATCCCCAAATGTCGCCAAATCCCCC